TAAGCGTTAGCTGCCTTGTCGAAGAGAAGTTAAAGCTGGTCTTTGTGGATGATGTTGATCTCTGATTTATGGAAGTAGGGGTTTTTCTCTTTTCTTTTTCTTCTTTTTTTATTATTGTTTAGGTAACATGGTTATAATAGTGTTGGCATTAATGGTTTTGATTTACAAAGTTACTGCAGAAGGCAAGATATTTAATAAGAATTTCAATGTCAAAGGGTAAGAGAGATAGTACAGAGCATATGGTGCTTGCTTTGCATAAGGCTGACTTGGATTTGACTCCCAGAACCCCATATAGTTCCCCTAACATTATTAGGAGTGATCCATGAGGCAGATCCAGGAGTAAGACTAATATGCACCCCTCAAAAAAATAAAACATTTCAGTGTTTGTTCATGCCGGAGAGATATCACAGTGGGTAGCATGCTTGTCTTGCACACAACCAACCCAGATTTGTTCCCAGGCACCCCATATGGTCTCTCAAGTGATGCCAGGATTGATTTCTGAGCGCAGAGTCAAGAGGAAGCCCTGAGCAGCTGAGCAGTGAAGGGTGTGCCTCTCCCCACAGAAAACAAAGTTCACTACCTATGACCAAAGAGTCCTAGGTAAAATAAAAAGAACATAATGACATTCTTAGAACAAATTATACAATTCACAAAAGAAAGATATACCTAACAAATCACATTATGTGAACCACTAATTGGTTCAAATATGTGTGTTAGAGACTGCATTTTAATTATCTATTGTGTCGATACCTGAAGTATCAATACCTAATCAATACCCAGAGCAGAGTTCAAGTATGTTTCTATTGAACAGTACTATACTATTCCCAAAATTGTTCAGAGACACTCACAGAATGAACTCACATGGACCCTGCTTATTTGTAACATGGGTTAGGACAAAGTTCTGTGCCATTTTCTACATCCCATTCAGGATCCTATTTTAATAGGAGATTTCACAGTGATTTTTTGTCAAGGGTGTTTCTTTTTCATGTCGAATTAGGACCACATAAGTGGGTGTTTTCAGGAAGGGAAATCAACATGGATCAGGATCAAACGTGCTGAGAATCAGAATATAGAATATCAGAATATAGACTCATAGAAAAGTGGGGTTGGGAGGGGAGGTGGAATCTTAGACTTAATCCCAGCTCTGCAAAATTTGAGCTGTGTGACATCAAGTACTTCTCTGAGCCTTAGTTTCCTCATCATAAAAAAGAAAATGTTTCTAGCTATCTCGTGGCATTGTAGAGGACTTAAAGCAGTGCATTTCAGCCAAGCAGCCGGTGAAAACAAGCTCCCAATAATTGGCAGTCTCTCTCATCTTAGATTAGTGGAGTCTTGCCAGTGACCGAGTCAAGACCCAAGTCACTTCAGTGACCCAAACACTGGAACTGCCTCTAGGCCTGCAACTATATAATGACTACTTTAAAATTTCAAATGACATCCTTGAAACCCAGCTCTGATCCCGCTGCCCTGTGGATTGTTCTCTTTCCTTGCTGAACTCTTTGATGTCACAGATAGGCTCTTTCCAAGCTCCACAGAAATATTCACAGGCTCTGTCTTCTACTGCCTCTGCTGTTATCTTTGCAATTACTGACATTCACATTCATTTTCTGCCCTGAGCCTCACTCCCTGAGAGGGTGAGCAAATGAGAACAGGCTTGGTTTTTCTTTTCTTTTATAGCAGAAAGGAATAGAATCCTAAAGGTTTTGTCCCACAGTCGAACTTCCCTCTGTGGCCTTTGAAGCAAAGCGAACCCCACCCCCCCAGCTGAAGGTCTTTCCTGGGATATTTATCTGAGACCGTGCACTCTAGACACTTTAGGGGGAAGAGCTGACTTGCACACTTTTCCTCAGGAGGTTGTTTTCTTTTAGGAAGCCTAGAAGTGCCTTCCCACATGACTGTTTAACTGTGCTCTGACTAACTTTGTGAAACCATATAGGAAAAATGTTCAGAAAAGAAATAGCTTTTTGTCACCACTTTATAAAATAAAGAGATCGAGAAAGCTACTGACTGGAATAGTAAGCCTTTTGTGATTCTTGAGTTCTACTAGTCATTTAAACAGCTTATTTTAGGGAAAATCTTATAAGGTATTTGTAACCCTTAGTTTTTGCTGCTTAAGAAATCACCCCTGAAGTTTAGTAGCTTGAAAGAACAAATGCACCTCTCTCTTGAATCTGCAGGTTTTCTGGGTTCAGCTCCGGGTTGGCTTGGCTATGCCTGAATGGTCTTTGCTTCCTTAATTCTCTTTGAACTAAAGGGGCCTCAACTGGCCTCAGCTGTGTGTGCTGAGGTATCAGGTCCCTGGCCCTCCAAGAGGCTAATTGGGTTCTTCACATGGTTGCAGAAACTTTCCCTACAGCACCGTACAAAAGTCTCCAAGGTACAAGCACTTTCCTAACTTGTGCTTGACTCATATTTGCAGCTTTCTTCTTGGTCAAAGCAAGTCACTTGGCTCTTACTAGGCTCAGTGTAAGAATGGAGTCACCAAGGAGACAGATAAGGAGAGGGATTGGGAAGTCATTTTCCACATAATCTGACATTGTATTGACATTCAAAGAACTTAGAGCCAAGAAACCAAATGAGATATTAAATCATGCAGCTATTCCAATAGAAGCCCTGTGGTGAATTTAACACTGGAACTAAAAGTTCCAGAAATATATTTCCCAAAATCAGGTCCCTGAATAATAATAGCCCCACAGCAAGGAAAGATTGTAGATTTCTAGATGGTTAAGGTCCCGCTCTTTCTGTGGAGCCAAGCAGCATAGCACATGAATTCTACCTTGGTGGTTAAACAGATGTTGTCTGACTCAGTGTCCCCCTCCCCTTTTAAGCTTTAAGACATTATCACTTTTGCTGGTGACTTGTGACCTTTACCAGTTTGTCTCTCTGAACCTTTACCAGTGGTTCAGACTGTCTGTGATGTGTCCATGTGTGCCTAACATCCACCCCACCTGGATGCTGCCATCAACAAAACAGGATCATACAATTTCTCCAGGTGCATCGGTACTGCCCTCTGCCAATGGCCAAGAGATACCGGACCGCAAAGGACTGGAGGAGCAGCAGTTGCCACCAACTCAATAATTTGCCCTCTGGAAATCAAGTCTCTCCCCTTCTGAGCCTTGATACCAGAGGGATGGGAGAGATGAGCAAGCAAATAATGCCAGGAAGCCCATCCAACTCCCTCATACAAAACAGTAGCTTCAAATATCTTCTTACATGTGATGGGAAAATTGTCTCTTAGAAGAAAGTCAAAGTTTGGAGGCATGGTTCTGGGGGAGGGGAAGGGAGTGAATGGGGGTCTTGGGGGCCAGTGAAGTGTCAGCAAACTCTTTGCTCTGGGTTAGGACACAGCTTAGATTCCCCCCAGCTCTGGTGAGTGGATTGAGTAGACTCAGCATCTTGGGTTGGCCTGTGGCTATTCAGAATGAATGCCATATAAACACAGCCCGAGAGTCTGGCACAAGACCCACAGCTCAGGTAGAAACATGTGTGGATGACATTCTTGCTGGGCCTATGTAATACAAATCGCCACAACCTCTCATGAAAAGAGAGGACCCCTTCCCTGCAAAACAGATGCCTGTAGCTGAGCACTTGGCACCAGCAGAGGTCCACAGCCGTAGGGATATTTGGTTGAGCCAAAAAGAATTCTTGCAAAGTGGAGATGTTGCAGAGAGAATCACACTTCAGAGATCTGGGACTAAGTGCAAGATTACACTTTCCTTCTGTTTCCTTTATGACTTTGGCGAAGTCACCTAATCATTCCAGGATTTATTCCCTGTAAACTGTATGTGTGTGTTAGTGTATATTTATTTACTTACTTATTTTGGATTTCTTCCCACATGCAAAGCATGAGCTCAGTCTGTTGAGCTATCTTCTTGAATATCTTTACTTATAAAGAGAAGAGGAAAAATCTAAATAATGTACCACATGCTCAGACCCTCTTAGCATAACCATACTATGTAATTTATACTATACTATATATGTACTATATAATTTATTCATCTTTTTGTGTTTATTGATTACTTTTAGACTCTTCTCACTAACCTACTAATTCCATCAGGACAGAAGTCTTTAGAAACCTTGTTTGATTTTGGGGTTGTTTATTGGTACTTGGGACATACCAATGTGGTACTTGGGCATCCCCAGTAATATGTGGAAGACCAGATGGTGCAAGGAATTGGTCCCAGGCCACCTGCAGGCAGAACAGGAGTTTTGGCCCCTGGAGCTTTCTCATCAGCCATACTTGAAATAATATAATCCATATTTTCCAAATTGTGTTTGGTATATGAGTATGTGTGGATGCATATTGGAGGAAAGTTGGGTGATGACTCAAAGGACCACTTTGAGCTTCATCAATAAAAATTAGTTTTTTGTCTGCTGAATCAAACAAACATTCCCACAAAACACCAGTTTATTCTTTTTCCTGGTACTGTGACTCAGAGGTGCAGGTGAGGTCCCAGTAGACAGTTGCTCTACTCCTGTTGCCATCAGCTTCATTCTGCTGTGCTCTGGGAAGGACTGAAAGGTTCGAAAAGGATTCACTTACATATTCAGTGTCTGAGTGGTCCATCATATAGTCCCCTAATTCATAGGTTCAATCTCTGCTTCTTCTCCAGAGACTAGACTCCCCAGAGCAAAAGTTCTAATCTGGCAAGCCTCTGAAGGACAAACCCTGGTCAGATTTTGCATGTATGCAAGGTGGAATTAATGGGAGTCCTCTTTGGAAACTAATATATTATCCCCTGTCCCCATGTCTACAAATGTATGTATTCTCAATAAACACTTACCAGGCAACCCTCTGACACTGAATTGATCATTAATGTGCCCAAAACCTCAGTCAGAGTCTCTAACTTCATGGATCTAATGCCCAAAATGAACCATGTGACCATATGCTTTTAGCATAGATCCTCTCCAGCAATATAAAACAGCAGGCAGGCTGTGTGACAGAGGGAACTTGGAACTGGTGAATGAAATTTGTGACCATCTTCGTGACTCCCTTTCAGATTCCACAGATGGTGAGGGGGACTGGAGTCTCTGGTCTGTCTGCAGCGTCACCTGTGGGAATGGCAACCAGAAACGAACCAGGTCCTGTGGCTACGCCTGCACTGCAACAGAATCCAGAACCTGTGACCGTCCAAACTGCCCAGGTGGGTTTATAAAGAATTGTGAGTCTGATTCTCAGAGAAGTCTTGCATTTATTATCATTTTTTTATTTATATTTAAAAAAAACAGAAATTGACATCATAAAAGACAGTTATTTTCCTAATAAGAATCCTGACTAGACTAAGCCAGGAGTTGAGTAATGAACTTAATTAGCGAAAAATGGATTTTCTGACTCTTACGCACAGTGCAGTCTCCGTAGCTATGACCTAGAAGACAGTGTCACCACACACTAACTTAATTTAAAGGAAGAACTCTAATTCACTTGGGCCTTTGATGTGGGATTTGAGTGGGATTTGTGTAGGCCTTGAGGAGACACATGAAGACAAACATTCACTATCTGATAAGGAATTGGGGATGAGCACTTCACAGTCATCTCCAGAAACACCAAGACCTGTCTATAATGTCTGAGAGTTGCCAATGGCTCCCAGGGAAACAAACCAGGGCAACTTGACAGTTAATTATCGCTGTAGACTGCATTGTCAGTATTTTTTAAAAAAAACTACTAATTGCAAACTTGGTGAGAGGCCATATTGGCAGTGGAAAATAATTGTTACTGTCTCTAGCAGTGGTTATTAAACCACAGCCTGGTTTTGTATGACCCCCACAGTTTTAAAGTTTGTTTTTTAAAACAAAAAAAGAGAGAGACTGGAGAAGGAAGAATATGCAACCAAGATCACATATGACCCACAAAGCCTAAAATAGATGGTCTCTGACTACCAAAAAACATTCCCAACTCCAGGTTTTATATTTGCTATGTGTTCCCCATTGCCAGGTAGAATACCAGCCTAAAATAATACTTCAACCTCTTCCAAGAAACCACACATTCCTCATCTGAAAGAAAATTTATAGACAGAGAATTTGATCTCCACATCCCAGACATTTCTTCTATTTCTCGAAACTCTGTTTTCAAATTATAAGGCTCAGAGTTTGAACAATAACAACAGCAAAGAATTAGAATATAAAGGGGGTTTCTGAAAAGAGAGAGGACAAATCAGATTGAGCCTGTGTAAGTGAGCAAGGAGGCGTGTGTTGAACAAGGGACTAAGGGAGATAGCACAAAGGGCTAGACACACGCTTTGCAGACCCAAGGCCCCAAGTTTGATTGATCTATGACAATGCATGACCTACAGCCCAACAGTGTTGGGTGTAACCCTGGTGGTCCCCAATTCCTATTGCTTTTGAGATGGTTTTGGTAGACGCCCCCCAGAACCACTATATCTGAGCAACATCACATCACTGGACCCTACCATTGAACTGCTCAGCCTTGTTAGATGAAGTATCACACTTAGAACCTGTGAGCATTGCTTGGGAGCACCCCCCGCCACACACACACACACACACACACACACACACACACACACATACACACAATGTAAGAAGTGGTGATTCTGCAGCATTATTCACAATAGTCAAAAGTTGAAAACAATCTATGCTCTCCTACAGATAACTAACTAAAAAAGAATATAGACAATAAAATGCTGTTTAAAAGAAGCAACATAGATGAAACTTAAAGGTGTTAAGCTTAATGAGATAAATCACTAAGATAGAGAATGACCATATTATTTCACTCATGTGTTGTAAATAAAGAAACCAAACAAATGAATGACCTGAACAGAACAAAAACAAGTTCTTAGATAATAAGAACAAAATAGTGGTCACTATAAGGGGGAAGATGTTGGTAAACCAGGTAAAAGAGGTCAGTTGTATAGTGATGGCTAGAAACTGGAGTTCTGGTGACAAATATATGTATTATATCAAAATATTGACTTAAAAGGCTATACACCTTAGGGTTGGAGCAATAACAGCGGTTAGGGTGTTTGCCTTGCACATGACTGACCTGGGTTCAATTTCCAGCATCCCATATGGTCCCCCAAGGACCTCCAGGAGTAATTCCTGAGTGCATGAGCCAGGAGTAACCCCTATGCAATGTCAGGTGTGACCCAAAAAGAAAAAAAATTACTATACACCTGAAACTATTAATCTTATAAACCAGAGGTTCCCAAACTTGTTTGACCTTTCAAGGGGGAAAAAGCTTGCTCTTTTTATCTTTTCTTAGTTTTGGGAACCATACATGGCTGTGAGAGCGATAGCACAGCGGGTAGGGCATTTGCCTTGCACACGGTTGAATGGGTTCGTTTCCTCCATCCCTCTTGGAGAGCCCTGCAAGCTACCGAGAGTATCCCACCCGCACGGCAGAGCCTGGCAAGCTCCCCATGGTATATTGGATATGCCAAAAACAGTAACAACAAATCTCACGATGGAGTTGATACTCATGCCTGCTCGAGCAAATCAATGAACAACAGGAGGACAGTGACAGTGACAGTGACAGTGACATGGCTTTGCACTCAGGAAACACTCCTGGGGAACATACAAGGTGCCAGATAAACCACATGCAAGCAAGCACTGTATTATCTCTCAGGCCCCAGATCAAGTTTCTTTATTGAACAAATAAAAAGTATCTCAAATTGCACCTGAGGCTACTATTGTTCCTCTGCATTTTTCCAGCACCCACAGGAGCTTGGTATTGTCCATTTTCTGAGAGACATTATCATAACTATTATCACTTCAATTCAAAAGTTCATATAATATTTCAGAGTCTTTACAATTATGTTGTTTCAACTTGGAGATACATGCCAATTTAAGTTGTAGAAGAATGGCAGTGCTTGACTTTGTATTTGTTCTCTATGCATATAGTATTTTCTTTCTTTTCTTTTTTCTGCAGCTATGGTGGATATTGAATCGAAGGCCTCACTCATACATATCAAGTGTTCTTTCACTCACTATATCCCAAGCCTCTTTGAAGTAATTTCTGTCTTTCTATAAATTGCTAGATTAAACTTAGCCATCTGACACCTATTTTTCTCAGTAGAGGTAAAATTTTAGGTAGAAATACATAAATTCTTTGTGTCCTGCTTAGCAGTAATTAACAAAATTCCAAATAAGAAAGCAGTGTTCTGACTTCTCATCAGCCATGATAGATTTCAAAAGCAGAGTAAAACTAATAAGATATATATGTGTGTGTGTGTGTGTGTGTGTGTGTGTGTGTGTGTGTGTGTGTTTGGGTATCTTTTATTTCTAGCAGTTTAGCCATTTACCTATTCTATTAGGTAATTTGGGTATTACAATTTCTTTCCTGTAGCATTTTTTTAATTGAATCACCGTGATACAGTTACAAACTTTCTTGATTACATTTCAGTCATACAATGATCGAACACTCATTCCTCTACCAGTGTGCATTTTCTACCACCAATGTTCCCAGTATCCCTCTTGCCACCGCCACCCCATCATACCCCATGCCTCTGTGGCAGGTACATTACTTCTTACTTACTCTCTACTTTGGGGCATTATGGTTTGCAATACAGATACTGAGAGGCCATCATCTTTGGTCCTTAGTCTACTTTCAGCGCATATCTCCCATTCTGAGCAATCCCTCCAACCATCATTTACCTACTGGTCCCTTCTCCATCCCAACTGCCTTTTCCCCCAGCACATGAGGTAGGCTTCCAAACTGCAGAACAATCCTCCTGGTCCTTACCTCTGCTGTCCTTAGGTGTTAGTCTCATATTATGTTATTTTACATTCCACAAATGAGTGCAGTCATTCTATGTTGTCCCCCTCTTTCTGACTAGTTTCACTTAGCATGATACTCTCCATGCCCATCCACTTATTTTTCTAATCTCCCCCCATGCTCATCATAATGAAACTGAGTTGGAAATCTGGTAGGATGGAATTTGGATTGGTAGAAATTAATAATAATAATAATAATAATAATAATAATAATAATATGAAAAAGGTGAAAACAGGCAGAAAGTTAGAGCAGGAAAAGAATAAAATGATAATGAAGATAAGGAGATGAAGCAAAAGACAATGAGAGGATAAGGTAAAAAGAAAGAAAAAATTTAAAGATGATAAGATCATGAAGAATAGAATTTAAGTATCAAACATATGTCTAAGATCATATTATATATTCTTTCACTTAATCCTCACAATATTCTTGTGAAGTGGGTATTTATTATTGTACCTATTTGACAGCTATAAAAACTGAGGCAGAGGTGTTGATTTGCCTAAAGTCAAGCAGGCAGTAAGTAAGCAGTCTAGAATTTAAATCCAGGCAGTCTGATTCAGGAATCATATTCTTAAACATTAAAACAGTCTATATCTACCAGAAGGAAATGTATCGTGCTGTCACACATGGATACATGTGTCACTTAATATCAAGGTTTAGGACTTGCCTCTTGTTTCATCCAGACCCATGTATTCCATCTGGGGACCTGATAGACACGGGTGTCTTAATAGGAGAAGACTCTTTGCTGCCATTTTGAATATTTCTTTCTTGTTTTCTCTCATGACTGACGACAGTAATTTCCTTTTTATATTACTTCACCCTTCCATTTTTTCCTTCCTCTCTCTCTGTTCCTACATCTTCCTGTTCTGTAGACTTCCCTTGGAACATGTAGAAGGATTTCCTTTTACAGGGTCTCTGTCTTTCCTTCCTATTTCCTTATTTGGTTTTTTGACTCTCAGCTTTACTGGGATGAATTATGGAGCAACTACACTCTAAAAGTGTGTCCCCTGGGAGCTGAACTGAGATGTAGCTCAATCGTAGAGTATATGCCTTACATGTGTGAGGCCCTGGAGCCCTGGATTCAATCCCCAAGACCACAAAAAAAAATAATAATGTGTGTCCCCTACAGCGATTTGAAAATAAGTTTGAGGAGGAGCCTCCCTTAAAATTAGAGAGAATGTCTTAAAGGAAATCAAGTTTTAGCAGGATAGCCAAGGTGAAGTGATGAATCACCCATGTTCCACCTTTCCTGCCCCTTCTGGACTGCCTTAGATTTCTACTAAAGGGTTTCTCTTTGTAAACGAAGCCCTAAGTAGGGTTCATAGCATGGGGAGTGGGAAGGAGGGTAGGAAGAGTCACTCAGAAGTTCAAGGACCCTGGTAATGACAAACCCAGTTACTCTTTTCAAAGCCTCATTAGCAATGCTATAAATTCTAGAACACTAAGTCTATGGTCCCTGACTATGAACTGCTACATCCTTAAAATGAGCTAGATTTAAAGGAAAACTATAAACAGCATTTACTACTATGAGCGTTTTTTTAATTTGTTTTGTTTTGTGTGTGTTTGTATGATGGTGGGGAGGAGGAGAGGGTGTATAGCTAGCAGTGCTCAGGGAGCCATATGTGGTGATGGGGATTTGAATCAAGGTTGACCATATGTGAGGCAACAAATATTTTATTTGACCCACAAATATTTTATTAACATACAATTCATTTAATCCGCACAACTCCATCTGGTGGGTTGTTTGGTCCTCTCCCATTATACTGAGATAAAAACTGAGTCACACCAAGTATAAGCAGCTCACCCAAGATCACATGGCTATAAGTGCTTTGAACCAATCAGTCCAACAATTAGACAAGCCAACTGTTCCCCGTTGTCTCCAGATAATGGGCCACCCTGTCACCAGACTTCATTGTAGTCCTTGTCTCTACAGATGCCCTGTCCTTGTGCTGCAGTGAATAGGGTCCATTTCACACATTTGGATCTGATTTCATGCTGCAAATGCTATCTGGGCTTTCAATATATTTTATGCTCTACTACCTGCTTTTTACTGTTTCCTCTGTTGGCTAGTTGCTGCCCTCAAGTAGGAATGAATACAAAAGAATCTTTGTTGAGGTGTATTTGTTTTTGAAATGAAATTGGTGAGGGGAAGGGTTACTTTTTCCATATTACCAGAGAAAAGTAGGCTCCTGTCTGTGTTTAGGAATTGAAGACACCTTCAGGACAGCTGCCACTGAAGTGAGTCTGCTTGCGGGAAGTGAGGAATTCAACGCCACCAAACTGTTTGAAGTTGGTAAGAAGATTTTTTTTCTCTTCTATACAAATATTGATTTAGTGGTTTAGGTTGGTTTTTTTTTTTTAAGATTTCTGTTTTTAAGATTTCTGTTGCTTTTACCGTGTCATCCTTGGATTCATTTAAATGTTTGAATCTGAGCATTAGATGTTCAGCTTCCTCTTAAGAGGTGCAATACTCTCAGCACAGTTCTTGCTCACTTGTACCTATTCCATGTAAGAGACAAATTCACTGTTCATGCATCAAAGCTGTGTCGGTCCTGCTAGCAACACGGCCTTCATGGCTACAAGCAACCTACTCTATTTTTAACACAGAATTGTTAACACAAGAGGTGTGAAGCCACACGAAATCTCTTCTCATAGCCCCCCACTGGATATCTGCACTTAATCCAAAAATGGTAGTCCTAGTTTTATAGTAAGGAGGGATGGGACTTTCTCAGCATTATACCTGTGACCCACTACCACATGAATTTTTTAGTAAACTTTCAGTGCATCCCACTGCTCATCTGCTGGTAAGTGCTATGAAAATAAAAATGCAACAAACAATACAAATAAGATACAGAAGAATAGGGGCCAGAGCAGTAGTACAGCAGATCAGCCCTCACCTTGCATGCAGCTGACCTGGGTGTGATTCCTGAGATCCCATATGGTCCCCCAAGCCCCACCAGGAGTTACCCCTGAATGTAGAGACAGGAGTAAGTCCTGAACATTATTGGTTGTGATCCAAAAGGAAAACATATATATATATATACATATACATATATATATTCACACAAAAGACTAGAAAGTGATTCTAATTCCCATGTAAAGCGAATTTTGAATTTTGCTTTTTAAAAATACCTTCCTAGGATTTGGGGTTGAGGGGTTTTATTGTTTGTTTATCTGTTTGGGGGGCCACACTCAGTGATGCTCAGGGGCAACTCCTGGCTCTGCATGCAAGAATTATTTCTGGCAGTGTTCAGGGGACCATATACAGTGTCAAGAATCTAATCCAGGTAGGCCACATGCAAGGCAAGTGCTCTAACTAATGTACTATTGCTCCAGCCTCTTGGATATGATTCTGTTGTGTTATTTTTACAGATAAATATAAATCCTTCTTCCCCATTTCTTTGTGTGACCCAGTAATTCTTTCTTAGCCTCTATGCTTCTGCCCTGCTCTGTCAACAAACTGAACACAGTTGGAAATCTTTTGTTAATTAAGGCTTTCCACTTAGTCTTTCTCTCTCTCTCTCTCTCTCTCTCTCTCTCTCTCTCTCTCTCTCTCTCTCTCTCTCTCACACACACACACACACACACACACACACACGTGGCAACTACTTTCCTCCTGACTGAGATCCCAGCAGCACAGACACCCCAATGTGTGACTTAAGAACACACAAGGAGGAGGAGGGATTGTGTGTCACTTGGGTTCTGGATGGGAACAAATACAACACACTCAGACGGATCATTGAAGAGCACCTGATGAGGGTCTGATGGCAAAGAAATGAGCAGGGTAAATAGGAGCCAAGAAGAATTTCTCAGAATTCTAAAGCCAGGGTAAGGGGTGGTTACCAGAATCCATCAAGTAACTGTTTGTCGAGAGAGCTACCTGACTCTCAGAAATAAATGTAACCTACCTCTCAGAAATAACTGTGCTCCTACCTCTCAGAAATAAATGTAACAATCCTATTAACTGTTGGAGATGAGTCATAGCAACAAATAACCTGATCCCAGTCTTCTTTTCTGTAGTCTGGCCAGACCTTCCCTTTGGTTCAACCCAACAAAGAGTCAGGACTCAAAAGACACATAAGATAATCTTCAAAGTCAAGGGAAAACACAGAATGATGATGTAAAAGCACACAGAAGATGCCCAGCAGAGGAAAAAAAAGTCTGACTGGTATATAAGATCAAATTCCTTAACTTTATAGTGCCACACTTTTCTGATGTATAATATGGTATGAGGTAGGAATACTACCGTGTAGAGCTATTGTAGAATTCACAAATCACAAATCATCCTGTTATTCGTCGATTACCTCAAGCAGGCCCCAGTAACGTCTCCTTCATCCTGGCCCTGAGGTTATATTCAAGGCTCTTTAGGAGAATGAGACCCATCATTGTTACTGGTATTTGGCATATTGGGTACGCCACGGGGAGTTTGCCAGACTCTGCCGTGTGGGCAGGCTATATTCGGTAGCCTGCCAGTTTGTCAAAGTAGGAATGAGATGTCATAATAAGATGTCGCGCGGCCGCAAATGCTGGTTTTTATAGTCTCAGAGTCTTGGCCGCTGATGGGATTACATGGCGCCAGGGGGCCAGTTGGTGGGTGTGACCCCCGCCTACTGGAATTTGGAGGATCTGGGTGGAGGATGCTCATCTCCAATCCGAGCAGGCTTGGAGATCTCGGCCCCGGAACCCACGTGGCTTTGTCCCTCTGCCGGTACCTTCAGGTGTGCGGAGAGTGGTCTCAGCATGGTGGTGGCTGGTCCTGGAGGTCTTCGGCTGCCGAAGAATTAAATGTGCTGATATTTGTAAAACAAGTAGAGCACACCCATCACACTAAGTATGATGAAAGAAGTCAATAGATGTCTCATGGTTACATGATTTACGATGACTCTTCATCCAGAAAGAACATACAAAGCCAAATGGGGAGGGAGCTATTATTGAATATTGTTTTTGAGCACCCTTTTATCTGAAGGAGCTCCCCAATCTGCTTTGCTGAAACATATTTCCCAGGATGGAATTTCCATACGATCAGTGACTGCTCAGATGGAGACTCATAGCTGTGGAACTCCCAACTGAGAAGTCCCTCAGTTTATTCCTGCCAACAGCCCTGTCCGCATTCCCTCTGACTTAATCTTGATCACACATTCTATGTGCTGTTTTTTTCTTTTTGTTTTATTGTGAAGGCCACACCCATAGATAATCAAATCAAATGTATTTGTGTTTGTTTGTTTGTTTTGTTAGTTTGGTTTTGGCTTGGGGGCCATACCTAGAAATGCTCAGAGGTTACTCCTGGCACTGTACTCAGGAATCACCGCTGACAGGTTCATGAGACCATATGGGTGGTGAGCGATTGAACCTGGGTCAGCTTCCAGCAAGGCAAGCACCCTAACCGCTGTACTATCTCTCCAGCCCTAAGTCAGAGGTGCTTAAGGTAACATCAATGCCAGGGAACCAAACCCAGGGCCACACATGCAAGTCATGTATTTTTTTTTCCTAAAATTTTATTTTATTTTTATAAAGTGGTTCACAATAATTCATTACATTTACTATTCAAACACCAATCCCATCACCATTGTACCTTCTTGCAACCATAAGAGGAAAGTGTATAAAGACTTGTATTTTATCCTGGAGCCACATTAAGCCCTTGTATAAGAGATTACAAGCACGTTTGTTTAACCCAACCACATGTTGTGTGCTACTCTTGGTACATCAGTGGTGTAGAGCATGAGAGGTCAAGAAATTCTAAAATTTAGAATATGATTATAGAGCAGATTCACTCATAGGTGAGGCCTATGTCGCTCTCTTCTGGGAGCTTTATTTCTGAGTCTCTGAATCATGGCATTGATGAGATTATATGGCACCAGGGGCAGTATGTGGGTGTGACTTCCAAGCTACTGGTAGGCTTGGGAGATGTGGGGAGGTTTTCAGCTGCCAGGGCTCTGTTGGATCAGGGAGGGAAACTCAACCTGCCCCACTCTGAGTTCCCCAGATGAAGACAGCCTGGCTCGGGGTCTGGACATGTGTTCTTGAGATTTAGCCTGACTCCAGACAGGCTGTTTCTATACTCAATATAAAAATAAATAAGCAAATTGAAGCACATTGAGGTCAAATACCTTGCCCAAGGTCTAAGAACTACAAATAGCTGAGTTGAGATTCCATCCTAAGTAGTTTGGCAACAAGACCCCACATTTTTAACCTTCTGGCCAAGTCTTTTCGAGCTCCTGGGAGATTTTATTTTGTTTTGCTTTATTTTTGTTTTTGAACCACACTCAACTGTACTCAGGACTGACTTTGGTTCAGCAACATGCAAGGCAAAAGCCTTGCCCCTGTGTTATCTATCTTGCCCACCCCTGAGAGTCTTGTCTCTCTCTCACACACATATTTCACTGAAGGAAAGCCAAATCATTCCTCTACACAATCCCCTTCTCCCGTCCTGGCACTTGAATTTTACTCAAATCCTCACCAACATCCACGTATCTGGGTCAAAGCTGAGAGTCACTTTTTTCCTTTTATGCCAAAACTCTGGTTCTTTTGTCTACTCTTGATTGTACCTACTGTTACTTCCCAGAGTATCTCCTTAGGTGTTTTACAGTTAATGTTAGTACTTAATTTATTTTGTTATTGTTCAGCTCAGGGCTGGAGTGCTAGCACAGCAGGTAGGGCATTTGCCTTGCATGCGGCCAGGTGGGCAACTCGAGTTTGATTCCTCTGCCTTCAATTCTTCCACCCCTCTTGGAGTGCCCGGCAAGCTACCAAGAGTATCTCGCCCACACGGCAAAGCCTGGCAAGCTATCTGTGACGTATTCGATATGCCAAACACAGTAACAAAGTCTCACAATGTTACTGGGCCCACTCAAGCAAATTGATGAACAACTGGAGGACAGTGAGAGTGATTGTTCAGCTCACTGTTTCCCCTGAGAAAATCTAAATTGAATTGACATCTTATCTCTCTAGATCATCTGCTCCAGTAAAGTGGTTCTCCATGCCCCTGACCACACTGGACAACCCCACCACATTTTCTCTGGCCAACTTAGTTTTCTACAGTTAGTGATTACCAAGAATGTCCTTCTTTTTCTCTTCCCTGCCTTGACTGTTGCCATCTGTATCAGTTGTGATCATCTGAGAAGCAGATAGCATCATGGGATTAGATAGTCAAGAAAGCTGTTGGAGAAAATTACTGAGAAGGACAAAAAAAAGGAAGCAGGAAGAGTGTTTAGACTGAGATGCAGGTCTGACCTCTACAGGGAGAGAGAGAAAAGGGCAGGGGCCTAGACCCGAAAAGCCTCAGGAGTTAAGATGCTTGCTTTGGATGACCCTGGTTTGATCCCAAGCACTGAGTATGGTCCCTGAGTATATATCCGGGAGTAAGCCTTGAGAATCACCATGTATGACCCAAGAACAAAAATTTAAATAAACTCTTTGTTCCCACTGATCAACAGGAACAAAATGTATCTTGATTTGGTTCTTATTCTATACTTCCTTTCAATCTCTGAACTTTGGCCTATTAGCTGGCACACTTCTCCTAAGATTCCCTTAGAGAAAATAGACTCTACTCAATGGAAAATATTCTCTGGGCTACTGGTTTTCACTACCCTTTTATCCCACTTACTCATCCTTAGCAGGTTCTAGTTCTACTTACTCGGCAGGGGGAAAAATGCTGTTGCCTAATCATTTGCCTTGAACTAATTTTCCACATTCAAGGGAGTTGGGCATGGTCACCAATGGACTGGTATTAGCAGGACACTTGCAAGTTGACTCTGGGAATAATGGGGATGCCTTAAGTCGTCCTGCTGCCCCTTGTGTATGTGGCTTGAAAATTTCTCTGTAACCCTTTCAGACACAGACAGCTGTGAGAGATGGATGAGCTGCAAAAGCGAATTCTTAAAGAAGTACATGCACAAGGTAATCAATGACTTGCCCAGCTGCCCCTGCTCCTACCCTACTGAGGTGGCCTACAGCACAGCAGACATCTTCGACCGCATCAAGCGCAAGGACTTTCGCTGGAAGGATGCCAGTGGGCCCAAGGAGAAGCTGGAGATCTATAAGCCCACAGCCAGGTACTGCATTCGCTCCATGCTGTCTCTGGAGAGCACCACTCTGGCTGCCCAGCACTGTTGCTATGGCGATGACATGCAGCTCATCACCAGAGGCAAAGGAGCAGGCACACCCAACCTTATCAGTACTGAGTTCTCAGCCGAACTCCACTATAAAGTGGACGTCCTCCCCTGGATTCTCTGCAAGGGCGACTGGAGCAGGTATAACGAGGCTCGACCTCCCAACAATGGACAGAAGTGCACAGAGAGCCCCTCGGACGAAGATTATATCAAGCAGTTCCAAGAGGCCAGGGAGTATTAAAGAGTCGCAAACTCTGGTACTTGTGACACAGATGCACTGCACTCGTCTGCTGCCTGGGACAGAAACCCTCTTATCCGCCTATGTGTATATTTGTATATAGCACAATAGTATTTTTCATAAATTACAGTAGGGGTGTGCACCGGATTGCCCTTTGAAGTTGCCCTTGCCCTCTACAATGCCTACGGACCTTCTTAGAAATACCCTGAGGTATGATGTTGGCAGGAGGATGAGGACAAAGAAATCCAAGGAGCCTGGGGCCATGTCTGGATGCTGGTGGATTCAGTTCCCACCCAGACCATGTTTCCTAGAGGAGCAAAGGGGCAAAGAGACTGAAATTGTAAACATTATAAGCAGTTTTTATATATAACTTATTTAATATGAATGTGACTTAAGCATCAACTTTTCTCTGGAGTTGTCACGATGACAATAATCACTTCTGTGAGAGTTCAAAAAGGGGTTTAGGTAAATGGAAGAGAAAGGGTCTTTGGTAAGGGTTCTCCTAAAAATAAACAACTCAATACAAATGTATCAAAGCAAGAAAGCCCCCACCTTAAACAAAATGCTATTTCAGTAGTCAGAATGCTGCTGAAATCTCAGTTTCTGAAATGGTCTTGCCTCAAACTGAGGAGGGGGTAGGAGAGAAAAGGATATTGTAAGCCCAATTTGAGGCCTGGTTTGAAATAAGATTTCAAATTTAAAAACATAATGCTATGCTTCTACTAAAATGGCCTGGGACTGCAGAATTTCTGTTCATATCTTAGTAGGTTCATAGTATTATAGAGAGACCAAACAAAAATAAGGCATAGCACTTTTCCAAATGGGGAAAATAAAAACAGAAAAAGAAAACCAAGAAAGAAATATGGAACACATGTCATCTATTTAATGTTAATACCAGTTTAACAATTATTTTCTCTTATCAGTATATTATCAGAAAATAAGTATAAAAGAGTGAGAGGATCTCAAATCTAAGAAATCCTAATTTTTCTATGTTTTAAGAATCAAAGAAAACTGCATTATTTTTGTAAAGTATTTATTGAGTCATTGAGTCTTATGCGTCAATCAATTACAATGTGACCTGCTTTCTGGAGGGTGGAACTTAGGACAAATAAAGAGTTGGTTCTTATTCAGTCTACTTGCAAAACTCCAGGAAAAGAAAATACACAATAAAATCATAATAAAATCTGTTTACCTGCAGAAGATGTGTTACTGGCAAATATTTTTTGATACAAATATCATAAATAGCTCTAATGAATCAAGGCTTCATAGCAGGAGAAAAATTCTAATCCTGTGGGAGGAAAAACGGTCCTTGATTAATGTGATGTCATAAGTACTCATATCTTTGACACCAGAAGTGTCCTCAAAAGAGGGGCCAAAGTGATAGTACAGCAGGTAGCATATTTGTCTTGCATGTGGTCAACCCGGTTTTGATTCAAGGTATCCCATGTGGTCCTCCCAGCAGTGCCAGGAGTAATTCCCAAGTGCAGAGCCAGGAATAAGCCCCGAGCATCACTGGTTGTGACCCAAAAACAAAACCAAAAATAAAAGTGTTCCCAAGAAGCATTTGGTCCCTAAGACACTGAAGTTCATTGACACACACATGAACTTTTGACCACTCAGACATAACTAAGTGTTAAGAAGCCAAGCCAAGGGGCCAGAGCGACAGTACAGCAGATAAGGCATATGCCTTGTGTGCACCAAACTCAGGTTTGATCCCCAGCACCCCATTTAGTCCCCCAAGCCTGTCAGGACTGATCCCTGAGACAGAGCCAGGAGTAAAGTCCTGAGAACAGCCAGGTTTGGCCCCAAAACCAAAAAAATAAAATAAAAAAGGAAGAAGAAAGCCAAGAGCAAAGGCTTAAGACAGCCCAGGTAAGGAGGCTTCCAGATAAAATTCTGTAATTATGATTTACAGCATAATGATTTATAGAAATAGCATAATTATGTAAATATGCTATTTCTTTTCTAGATGAGGGAAAACTAAATCACTCTGGGCCCATCTCTTATTTATTAGCCTCTTGTTCTTTATACTGTAACAAATTTTTGCTGTCCTACACCAGACTTTTGTTTCTGATATTCCTTTGCTGTCCATACACCAGACCTTTTGTTTTTGGTATTTTTGACCTTACCTGCAGTTTTTCAGATAACATTTTATTCTTACCCAACAATTCTTATTATTCATTTACTCTTGAGAATGCATTGTCTGTGAACTTCTCATTGTTTGTTTATTTATATTTAAAATCTATCCCCAATTATAGAATGAAAGATTTCTTCACATCCGAAGGAATTTTAGGCAACTGAATTAGGAGAAAATTCCAAAGTCAAAAATAACAGAAAGCATATTTAATTTCTAATAATAGAAAAACTAAATTTGTAAAGATAATTGGTCATACTGAATACACTGCATTTGAGGTGTTAAATCTGGAGATAATTCCATTGAATGATGAGGAGTGACAAAAAAATACAATAAAATATCATTTGATAAATGTTCTGTTAAGGATACGTGCAAATTACTATGAGAGAAAAAGAGACATAAATCAAAGAAATACCTGTTGGTTCTCTTAAGGAGATGTATTCCATAGAGAAATGAAGAGGAAGTAGGAAGTGTATGCATTTGGAGTAAGAAAACATGGATGGACAAGGGTAAGAAAAGAGCTTGATGTGTTCTGAAAACAGATATTAAGGATGGTGAGCAAAGGTACAAGAATGGCAAGTTCAAGCCATATCTAACTCGTTGTTACTAAAAAATTAGCTTGGAAGAAAAAAGAACTGAGTTCTTTCCTACTACACTGAGAATGAGTGGACTATTCGGCTCTTCATACGTACCTCAGAGACCTGGGGCTGGAGTGATGGTATAGCCAGTATGGTGCTTTCCTTGCATGCATTCAATCCTGGTTCAATCCTTAACACCACATATGGTCCACTGAACCCATCAGGAGTTCACACACAGAGCCAGGAGTAAGCCCGGAGTGTTACTAGGTATGCACCTCACTCCCCAAAAAAACTAAAAATGTACCTACCAGACCTAATAAACCAAGAGTTGGAAGAGCTGACGATAACTTCTGAACGCTTTGCCTGTGAGAAACACTTAATCTTCCAAATATTCAGGGCAAAGCCGCAGCCCTGAAATTAGATCAAGAAAAAAAAAACTGATGTTCAGGCCCGCAGTTACAGGGGAACAATGAGTGATTCTTATAACAAATGAGACTGCTCTGTTCCGACAACAACCAAGACAAGGAGTCCTTACCTCCTCTACTCACGGTGCAAATCCAACTCCAGGTCAAGTAGAAACTGCTCCAGGTTCAACACCTTTGCTTATGAGCAGGTAGTCTGGCCCTTACCTGTACCGCATGTTTTCCTAGTAATACACCTGGTCTCTGTGGCACCAACAGTGACAGAGAGAGCCAAGGCCCTCTAGTGGCCATGCAGAGGAAGAGGGCCTAAAGGGCCAGGAAAGCACCTAGTTCTTTCTTTAGCTCTTTCTGAACAAGCACCATGATGATTCTTTTAAAAGTATTTCTACTGTTGTGCTCAGTATTCAAGGGGGTAGATTTCTCCTCCTAAGTCCATGAATTTGGGATCGAAGGATGGGCACTATTCCAACTGCTCTTTGCTGAACACAGACTGTGCCTGGAGCTAGCTAATCACTTTACCATGGGACACTGCCATTCATTTCACAGATGAGTGGGGGGAAAGTCCAACAAGATTATCTAAATTGACCAAGATTATAACACTATACCAAAAATGACAAAGTAGGATCTGAGCAATACTACTGCACATAGGGCACTTGCCTTGCACATGACTGAGCCAGGTTGAAGCCTCGGTATCTCACATGGTCTCCCGAGCACCACGAGGTGTAAGTTCCTGAGTTCAGAGCCAGAAGTAACCCCTGAACATCACCAGGTGTGACCCAAAATGTCAAAAAAGAAAAAAAGTTACAAAGCTTTTTGGAACCAGTTGTCTTCCATGACCATGCTCTTAACTTTAACCCTTTGCTCTATTCTCTTCTTAATTCTTCTCATCACTCACTATTTCATGGTTTTCCAACTCACTCCATTTTTGTTCAAATTGCCCAAGGCTGTCAAAAATTTCTGCACGAACATGTATGTTATCTCACATTTAATGACAGAGCATCTGACATCTTTACTCTGTACTATGCTCATGTCTCTCGTATTCTGCAAGATTTTGAGACCATAACTAAGCACTTGCTTGGATTGGGTGAGTGCTACATCTTCTAGAAGATAGTCTGCTCCATGACACAAAAAGAAACTGGTCTGTTTTCCCCATCACACACCAACCCAGTTAGGTAGATGATTACAGCAAAGTCATAACTCTTACTTTACTACACCACAGCTTCCAGCACTGCAGGCAACGACTCCTGGCAGACAACACCGGGGAACATGTAGAAGGCTTAGGAGTTTGAGACTTGAATGAAACTGCCTGAATCTTGATGCTGGCTCACTCACTTGCCTTCTGGGGATTAGTGGATAAGTTAATCAGCTTGATACATTCCAATTTCCTCATAAAGCTGTTGTGCAAGTCAAGGTAGGAAATATTAAGTTCTTAGCATACAGTGTGTCATGCACCATGTACGATAAAGTTGAGTATGGATATTTAGTCATGGAATAAATATTTCTTGAATATATACCACTTGCCAGGCATTGTTTCAGAAGCCAGGGATACCATGGTATACAGATCTTCCTATTGAAGGTAGTTGATGAATAAATGAGTATATGAATAATCTGATATTGGTAAGTGGTGGAAATAAATTATTTAGTCATATAAACGTTTTATGTTGCTATAATAACACCAAATCATAGTTAACACAGTTAAAGTGTGGAGTATGTTTCTGGCTAACTAGTCAAGTGATGGCCAAGGATCATTGACTGTAGATCTGATGTCTTCAAGGCATGAGTCTTTAGGATGCCCCAAGGGTCATTTCTATTCTAACTCATAGTAAAGAGCGGAGAAAATATTGATAAAGATTTTTGTAGATAAAATAGGTATTAAATTATATGCATCATGTCCAATCAAACTCCACAACTTTAAGGGAGACTGGGAAATGGAGTACAGTTTGGGCCCTGTGAGCACACAGTCAGTCTCTGCACAAACATAGACATGAACTGCCAGCAGATGTTGATTATGCAAACTAGAAAAAGGGGCTATGGATAGGCCCAAAGGAAAGATCCTTTTCACACCAAAGCTATCTACATTTTATTATGAGGCTATGCTGTACCTCAGTTTACTCTATGTAATTGGGATAAGGCCACTTGTCATCAGGCATCTTCTCAGCAGATGCTTTAAATGTTCTTCACAGAGCTTGGCACTTTCCATATCTGTTCAGAACAATTCAGCTTTTAACTGGCAGCTCTTGCAAGTCTTTTCCTGGCAATAGTCTTTATCCACTGGGACCCACACCACTTGCTCAGAAGCAGAATGAAGTGACAGGGAGTTAAGAGTGCTCCCAGGAACACTTAACAGTTAACTGAGATTATTCCTGCAGTTCCTGGTGAGTTGAACTCTAGCACCTGGGGTGACAACATACTTGCTAATATTTATCAGTCTCTTTCCCATTTGTTTTTTTCCCTGCTTCCCTATTGTTGCTCACTAGAATCCTCCTCCAAAAAAAAGCTGTTTTCTTAGATCCTGTTAATATTTGCTTCTGTAGGGGATCCGAAACCCAGGTGAGGTTAAACCCACATCAGTTTCACAAGCGCTATTCAAATGGAAGTTTATTATTGTGACGTCAACCATGTTCTATTATTGTGACACCATGTTCATATGACATCATGGGTCTTTATTTTTCATAGATCAAAAAAGAAAATTTAATCTCACCTGGCAGTGATAGGAGTCCTACCAGATTTCAATACCATTGAGTTTTTATAAAATAAAAATAACTCCCCCAGGTCTTGTGATTAGATTAAACATACAGAAAATGATGCTGCCAAATGCATCTAAACATTTCTGCTTTTTTTTTTTTGCTTTTTGGGTCACACCTGGCAATGCACAGGGGTTACTCCTGGCTCTGAACTCAGGAATTACTCCTGGCAGTGCTCAGGAGATGATATGGGATGCTGGGAATTGAACCCAGGTCAGCCTCGTGCAAGGCAAACACCCTAGCCACTGTGCTATCTCACTCCATCCCCACATCTAAACATTTCTTAACTCTTGAATTGATCTCATTGCTGACTATA